CCCCGTGGCATTTGTGCGCCTGCGCTGCCTCTTCCTCTTTCTCCCAGGTCACAGTTCACTGCGCGAGCTTGCCATGGCAGGTCGGCTCGGGTGGCGCTCTTGGTTTTCCCGGCGATTTTCTGCTTCCCACTTGTGGGCCAGCACCGCCGCGGTCAGATCCAATGGTCGCTCCGCCCCCCCCCCCCCCCCCCCCCCCCACACCACACACGCACGTCGCAGCACACACACAACACACACGCAAACCGCACGCACACACCACGCACCACACACACACCCACACACACACACACACAACGCACACACACACACACACCACACACACACACACAACACACACACACACACGCCACACACACCACACACGCGCGCGCTGCAGCTGCGGCACACACACACGACACACACACACAGGCCACAACCGCACACAGTTGCGAACGCACACACGGCCAACCCATCCCACCACACGCACAACCGCACACTCACAGCGCACAACGCAACCGCACACGCACGAACAACGCACACGCACCACGCACACGCCAACACACACACGCACACACACACACACACACCCGCACACGGCACACGCACACGCCACACACGCACACACACACAACACAAACTAACAACACACACACACGCGCACATACACCACCACACCCACACACACACACACGACAACACACGCCCCCTCCCGAAGCGCCCCCCCCCCCCCCCCTCCTAAAAAAAAAAAAAAAAAAAAAAAAACACGAGCAGTCTCGGATCAAGCCCCTCCGCAGCAACAGCCATCTCTCCTCAATGCGCCCCCTTCCAGGCTGGTTCGGTAAACAACGACCCCCCCTCCTTCCCACCGCCCTCTGCTCTTATGCGCCCGTCCCTTCAGCCCCCCTTTCGCATTCTTCCTCTCAGCCCTTCTCCCCCCTCTGCTTCCCGCCCCCGTCCTTTCCTACGTCATTGTTCTCCGTGTTATTCTCCCCCCCCCCCCGCTCCCCTTCTCCGCGCATCCCTTCCCGCCTCTTCCTCATCCGCGTTTTCCCAGCCCCCCCGGCGCGCGCCCCCCACCCCCCCCCCCCCCCCCCCCCCCCCCGCTTCTGCACCCCCCCCCCCCCCCCCCTTTCCCCCCCCCCCCCCCCCCCCCCTCCTGCCCCTCCAAGCCGCGTTCCCCGCGCCTCCCCGCCCCCGCCCAGCCCCCCCCCCCCTCCCCCCCCCCCCCCCCTCCACCGCTTATCGAAGACGCCTACGGCGAATCACCGCCGCCCCCTGCCTTTGTGGAAGCGCCTATGCGGCCGAACGTTGAGGCCAGACCTGCCAAGCCATCGGACCATGTGTTCCCCGAATCGGTTTGGAAAGCCTTCGGGGAACACGTGGGCGTCTTGATGGTCATCGTCGTCGTCTTGGAGGCCTCTTGGGCGATCTTTCGGCGATCTTTGGGGGCTCTTGGGCCGTCTCGGGCCGTCGGAAGGCCGAAAGAAGGGAAATGCCCAAATCCATCAAAAACCTTGGGAAAATCAATGATTTTGGCATCTTTTGGCCTTCCTGGAGGCCCTCTTGGGGGCCTCTTGGGCCCTTTTGGGCCAGCTTCGAGCCAACTTCGGCCATCTTGGTGGGTTCCTGGCACGTCTGACGCCGTCGGGAGCCGTTTTGGGGGCCTGTCTGGGCCAACGGGGGACCCTCTTGGGGCGCTCCAGGGCCGTCTTGGAGGCCATCTTGGGCGTCTTGGAGGCCATCTTGGGCGTGTTGGAGGCCTCTTGGGCCGTCTTGGGGCCCTCTAGGGGCCATCTTGGAGGCCGCTTGGGCCATCAGGGGGCTCTCTTGGGGGCCTCTTGGGCGATCTTGGGGGCTTCTTGGGCCGTCTTGGGCCGTCGGAGAGCAGAAAAGGCGCAAATGCCAAAATCCTTCAAAAACCAATGGAAAATCAATGATTTTGCCCTCTTCGGATTCTCCTGGAGGACCTCTTGGAGGCCTCTTGGGCCGTCTGGGAGGCCTCTGGGGAGCCCCTTGGGCCGTCTTGGGCCGTCTTGGACTCTCTTGGGCCGTTTTGGAGGCCGTCTTGGACCATCTCGGGCGGACTTGGAGGCCATCTTGGGCCATCTTCGCGATTTTTTGACGATGTCCCGAGCGAAGCGGCCGTTTTTGCGCACGGTGGCGGGTTCTGCCGGAGCCCACTGGGGAGTTCTTTTGGAAAAAGAACCAACACCAAAACCTAACAGCTCGTCCAGCACGCCGTGCGCCCCTGCAGGCAGGGGGCGGCGGATCCAGCTGCCCGCGGCAAATCCCGCCACCGTGCCTGGGTTGTGGGACGTCGGCCTTTTGCATGTTCGCTGGGACATCGTGGGAAGCCATTCTGGTGCCTGTCGGAAGTAGTTTGCAGGCTTCTTGGGTGCCGTCTGAGGGGTTTCTTTGGGGCTCTTGAAAGGGGGCCTCTGAGGGACCTCCTGGGAGCCTTTTGAGGCCTCTTGGAAGCTTCTTGGGGCGTCCTGGGGGCGTCTCCTGGCGGGGGGCTCGACTTGTCGGTTCGCGTTCCCCCTCTTGGGCCCGTTTGGGGCCGTCTCGGGGCTCTCTTGGGCTGTCTTGGGCGCTTCTTGGGCCGTTTGGGGGCCTTCTTGGGCAGTATTGGGGCCCTCTTGGGGGCCGTCTTGGGCCGTCTTGGGGCGGTCTAAGGGGCCCCTGGGGCCGTCTTGGAGCGCCCTGAGGCCATCTTGAAGGTTTCTTGGGCTGTTTTGAGCCGATGAAAGCTAGGGGCGGCGAGAATGCGAACCAGTCTTTCAAACGCCAATGGGAAATCAATGAATTTGGCTTCTTCGGGCCGCGCTCTGGCGGAATCATCCAAGCGCCTCCAATGCTGGGCGAAGTCGGATTCAGATGCGTGCTTGCTGCGCAATCTGGACAGCGGCAATCGAGGGATCGGATCGGGCGCGTGCAGCGGCTGATGGGGGCGCCGCGTTCGACCGCGATGTCCTTGGGCGCCCTGCAATGCCAGGTGAATGACCTTCACTCGTTGATGGGCACGGCACTCATCATCAAGTGGCTTGCCATCGCCGCTCGCACTGGCTTCGACAGCGATGCCACGAGCGGCAGCCAATTGTTCGCGCTCCACATTGCCAGCGCTGAGCGCCAAGCCGTTATGGATCAGCACCGAGGCGCCAGCATTGCCGAGCAGTTTGCCAGCCTTGCTCCAGCATGAGGCATGCTCGCCGACACCCATCCTTGCGCACCGTGCCTCGACGAGGGCCACATGCGGCGCCAGTGCCGACAACCTGCCTTGCGACTGCGCGCTCGGGGCACCAATGCGCATGCCGGCAGGGCAATGCGGTGAGTGCGTGGCGACGTCATCATGCAAGGGGAACTCGCGCGCGGCCCTGAGGTGGCGCGCTATGTCGGGTCTTGCCTGGCCACGCTGAGGATCGGCCTGCGCGACGTCACTGGCGGCCCACAGGGCAAAGCAGCGGCGAAAGGCACGGGCAAGAGCGGCGGCATCGTGGCAGGACGTCGCTTCGCGACAATCATCCCCGAGGGCGTCAGGCCCAACATGATTTGCTCGCACGGCGTGGAAATGTATGGGGGCAGGTCGGCGCCAGACCTCCCAGGCGTTTCCGCTGGCGGCGAGTTCGCAGAAGGCCGCGGGGTCTCGCTCGGCGGCCCAGGCAACGCCCTCATGCTTGAGGTCGGCGCGACGCGCATCAGCAACAGCTTGGTCAGCCGCTATGGCGAGGCCATGGGAGTCATGGGCGACGTCGTCCGCAAGCTGTCAGCGAAAGTCGAGCTCAGCGAAGAGGAGATCTTGGCGTTCAAGCGCTTCAACGCCAGAGTGGCATCGAGAGCACGCGATGGCGGCGAAGACGATCCAGACGGACCTTCCAAAAGCAAGGCCGGCAGCGCAGGCACGGGAGATGCCAATCCGCTCGCGGCCTACGACGCCGAGATCGATTGCATCGACATAGCCGACATGGAGTCGCTGGACGATGAGGGCAAGTTCGACTTTGGCGCCGCGGACGATGAGCAGGAAGAGCGACCAGGGCGGCCTGGGGCCAATGCGCCTGGAGCGGCGAATGCAGCAGAGGCGGCAGCTGCCGAGCAAGCTGACGAAGGCGAGGCAGAAGACGCGCATGCTGGTGGGGCAGGCCCGCGCGCGGCGATCGACAGCGAAGAGAGCGGCGAGCCGACGGCTGAGGCGGGCGAGGCCGAGAGAGAAGCCGAGCGTGCCAAGACCGGCGCGCCGTAGGATGAGAGCGGCCCCTGAAGCACTTGAGCGAAAAAAAGGCCACGCTCTTCGACGCGCGACGCCTGAGATTCAGGCCATCACGGCGCCGATCGGGGCAGTCGCCAACGAGCGCGCGATTGGAGCCTAAGCGCCCGCAGCGCCGAATCGCGGCACAAGCGCAAGGCCGTTAGCGAATGGCCGGCGTCGCGCCAGTGGCGCGGGCAGCAGGCGACGGCCATGGCGACGAACCTGATGGAGCCACCAAACGGAGAAGGAAAGCAGCCTTCAGCGACGCTGTCAACGAGACCTACAAAAACTACCTTCGCGGTGGCCGCAAGGCGCCCATCCTGGACAGCATCGAGGTGGCATTGGCCGCTGCCCGCGACGTCATCGCTAGGGGGTCGGCCAGGCTCGGCCCGCTTTGCAAGTGGCGAAACAGGGCGATTCGCTTCGGCTGCGCGCTGATGCGCCAGGCGTTCGCTGCCGGGGATGCCGGCGCACGCGCGCGAGCAGGCCAGGGCGCGGCAAGGGCCTGCGCGGTGGCAAGCCTCGTCAGCACCTTCACCCGCCAGGTGGTGCAGGAGATGCGCCTGCTCGAGACTTCATCGCAGAGCGTGCCCAGCAACGCCGAGGCGGCTGTCGGCAAAGCCGACAGCGTTGCCGCTGTCGTTCACGCCGCTCTCTCTGCGCCCGCATCCAATCCCTTGTCGCCGTCCTCTACAGGGCATCCGCAGACATGGTGCCTCGCTCTGAGGCGGCAGGCGCCGGGCATGCGCAAGCCGCTGCTCTGATGACGACGTTCGCCAGCTCCGACGCCATGCGCCTCGAGCAGAACGCTCGCACGCACAAGCGCTTGCGCCTGCTGGTGCCAGGCGTCGTGATAGACGAGCTGGAAGGCGCCGCCGCGGCAGAAAAAAAAGCCCGCCTTGGCAGAAACAAAAAAAAGCTTTGGCCGACAAAAACTTGCCTTGGCCGCAAAAGCCCGCCGTGGCCGAAAAAGCCCGCCTTGGCCGAAAAAGCCCGCCTTGGCCGAAAAAGCCCGCCTTGGCCGAAAAAGCCAGCATTGGCGTGCCCAGCGTGGCCAGTGACCTTAACGTATCGTAGCTTATCTTAATTTTAAAACATACAAGCAAACGAGAGAAAGCGACGGCTGTCAGTGGAAAACGGCCATGTGCACGAGTCATAACGCCGCGGGCCAAAAACATCAAATCGGCAGCATGGCGTAGCCCCGCGAGCCCGGATTTGGGAAATCATTTTCGCCGAGTGCCCCGCAGTTGCCCTCCCTCTCCGTCTGTCTGTCCCTCTAGCTAATTTAAAAATTCCTGTCAGTTTTGTATTCCCGCTTCTTTTGTGTGCGTGTGTTGTTTGTACATTCTATATATATATACATATATAATATATATATATATATATATATTATAGATATATAAATATCTTAAGTTCATTCATAAGAAAGCATGTTTTTGTTCACGTATACATAAACGTATACGTCTGCGCAATTACATGCATCGGGGGGTGGGAGGGGGGGCGAGCTAGGTGCGCGCGCATCTTATCTGACGCCCTACCCCCCCCCCCCCCCTCCCATCCCTTACCGTGGCGCAGATCTCCTCTTCGTGCGCACAATCGAATATCATGGCGTGGCATAGCAGAAGAGGGCATTGCGCGGCAGAAGCCGACTTGGGAACGCGCCGGACAATGCGGCATCACGATTTGGAACGACCACAGGCGCAGAAATGGGGCCAGCGCTGCAGCGGGAGCGAAGGGCCGAAAAGATTCGGATTGTCAGGAAAAAACAATTGAAAACCTAGCTCGGGGAAATCTTGGGAAGAAAACGTTACGCGGAGGGGTGCCGGCCATGATTTGGAGCGACAAGAGATGCAGAATTGGCGCCAACGCCGCAGCGGAAGCAGCAGTTCGAAGGACCGAGAACATTCGGATTGCCAACGGCAGACATACACATCCAGCCCTAAACGCAATCCGGATGGTTTCGGACCAAGCGGAAGCCCGAAAATGAGACCAACGCTGCAGCGGGAGCCGAATTTTGGAAGAACCGAACGCGTTCGGATTGAAAACCACATATAAATGCAAACTCATGGATTTTTGTTTGAATATTGCGCGTATAATACTAAACACAGCGCGAGGCAGGGGGCCCGATAGTTTGCGCACACCACTGGGGGGGAGTGGACATTAGTATTCATGTTGCGTAATTGCGCGGCGGGGGAGGGGGGGGGCAGGGGGGGTGGGGGGGGCAAGGAGGGGGGGGGATTTCGAAAAAAAGGAGGAGGGGGAGGGAAATGAAGATGCCCCCCCCCCCCCCCCCCCCCCCCCCCGCGCAGAAAAATAAAAGTGCGAGCGCTCCCGCTTCGTGGGAAGCGAAAAGAAATGCGCGATAACGATCATCAATGTTGGGCAACTTTGCAATCTTTTGCAACAATTGCCGATCGCATTCGCTGCGCTTTGCAGCACTTTTGGGCACTTTTGCACACGTTTCCGTGCACTTTGGGGCACTTTTGGGCACTTGTGCAAAGTTGTCACCAAAAGTGCCCAACAGTGGAAAAAATGCCCGGACAAGTCTGCAAGAGTGTCCCAGAGTGTTTGAGAATGCTTGGAAAAGGCTCCCAAATTGCATCGATTGTTTTGCAAGGGTGCCCGAAAGTGCCCGGGTAAATTTGCAAAAGTGCCGAAAAGTGCTTGGAAGGGCCCGGAAAGCGTTCGCAAATTGCTGGGGAACGTTGCGCAAGTGCCCAAAAATGCCCAGAAGTGCCCAGACAAGAATGCAAAAGTGGCCAAAGTTGTTCGGAAATCATTGCGCATTGTTGGGGCAGTTTGCGAATGCGCTCAAAAGCGTTTGAAAGTGCATGGCGGAAAGTGTTCGCAAATTGCTTGGGGACGTTGCGCAAGTGCCCGAAAGTGCCCCAAAGTGCCCGGACAAGTTTGCAAAATTGCCCAAAAGTGCCCGGAAAAGTTTGCAAAAGTACCCAAAAGTGCCAAAAGTGCCCAACAGCGCCTGGGATGCGATAGGAAAAATGCTTGCCAAATGACAAAGAACGCGTGGAAAGCGAAAGAGAATGCCCGGGAACGAACAGTTTTGGGCAGTTCTGCAACCCTTTGCAACAATTGCCAACCACATCCCAGGCGGTGTTGGGCACTTGCGGGCACCTCTGGAAAGCTTCGATCATTTTTGGAAAAGTTTCCCGGGCACATTTGGATTATTTTGCAGACTTGTCTCTGCACTTTTGCGCACTGTTGAGCACTTTTGCAGCGCTCCCCAGCAATTTGCGAACACTTCCCACCAAGCACTTTCAAACACTTTTGAGCGCATTCGCAAACTGTTCCAACAATGCGCAATCATGTCCGAGGGCACTTCTGCAAACTTCTCTGGGCACTTTTGGGCGCTAGTGGGCACTGTTGGGTACATTTGGAATGTTTCCCAGCAATTTGCAAACATTTTCCGGGCCCTTTCAGGCACTGTTGGGTACTTTTGCAAATTTTCCCAAGCACTTTTGGGCGCTTTTGCAAAATGGCCATGCAATCTGGGTCCCTTTTTCCAAGCATTCTCAAATGCTCGTGGACACTTTTGCAAACTGTTCTCTGCACTTTTTGGCATTTTTGGCGCTGTGGCAACATTTCCCAGCAATTTGCGAACGCTTCCCCGGCGTTTTCAAACATGTCTGGGACTTTTGCAAACTTGCCCGGGCATTTTTTGCACTTTTGCACGCTTTTGCAAAATTTCCCATCAAACTGTTGGGCACTTTTGGACACTCCTTCAAACATTCCGGGTCATTCTTTGAACGTGACGGCAATTGTTGTTTTTTCCTCTAGGCACATTTGGGCACTTTTGGGCTCTTTTGCAACATTCTTGAACAATTTGGGAAGCCAGCGTTGCAGAGATCTGGACAGAGGCATTGACATTGCGTCCACATCCAATCATTCGTCGCGTTGGTTAAGATGTTGAACGATCGCCAGCATTGCTCCCATACGTTGCCGCGCCGTTGCGCAATTCGCGCGCGCAGGCAAAGCAACGCCAGGCGGCGCAGGTCTGCGCAAAGGCGCGTCGCTCCGGCCTGCCATCGAGCGCGTCAGCAGCGCCGCGGACAGCGCCTTCTCTTCGCTGGCGTCGAGCCCAAGGCCGACGATGCCGCGCGCAAGCCTGGCAAGGCCCACGAGGTGCTCGCCGACGTCGAGCGCGAAGCCTCTCTGCAGCAGCATGGGGTTGCATGCCATCAGCAGACTGATCTGCTCGCTGGCGTGGCGCGCTCTGCCTTCGCTGGCGATGGCTGGGTGGCCGATGCCGACGCAGGCATCAAATGCATTATGGCATCGTCGCAGGCCTGCTGCAGGGCGCTCGCCATGCCAATGCAGAGCTCTTCGCCTGCGGCAACGGATGGCGCTATGCTGTCAAGGGCGGGACAGTTGGGGCGCGTCAAAACGCACCGAGCGGCCTCAGCAGGACGCCTTGGCAGCCATCTCACAAGCACAGGCTTTGCCTTGCAGTGCCTGCGCGCGGCCGTGACGCTGAGACCTCGCGCGATCAAGCTGGTGAGCGCCGGAGGCGCTCAGCCACCCGCCGCAGAAGACTGCCCCTCATGCAGGGCGAACAGCTTGGGCAGATGCCTGCGCGTCGAGTGGAGCGAAGAGGTCGCGTCGTTGCTTCCGCCTCCCTGGTCATGCACGAGGCAGAGGCTGCGCAAGCGGCCCATGGCCTGGCAAGATGACCATCATCCGCAGCTGCGCATCACTGGCACAGCAGGCGACGATGATGGCAACGCAACGAAGGAGCAGGACAGCTCATCGGCGATTGGCCAGGCAATCGACCTTCTCGCTGCAGCAATGGCAAGCAGCGACAAGCATGGCAGCCACGGCCAGGCCATCGCCAATGATATGTTCGCACTGAGGAGCGCCGCAAGCATCTCCAGCAAGAGGCTCCTTAACGCTGTGGCCTATCGCGACGACGTAGTGCCCATCGGCAGCGTGCTCCTCGGTCACTCTGAATGCATCCATCGCCAGGGCATCGCGACCAGGAAGCTGGTCAGATCGGCCATCGGGGTCGCCAGCGTCTTCGCCTCAGCTTCGGCAGTTCGAGGCAGGAGGTCGCTCCAAGTACCATTCGAGGCGATGCACAGCGCATCCATCCTTGACCAGGCTTGCATGACCGATGGCCTGATAGCCGCCAGGCATCCAGGCATTCACCACGGCAGCGTGCAAGCAATCAGCGACGCGAGCTTGGTGGACGTTGTTGATAGCGTCCTGCGCGCCGCAGTACATCGTCGGTGACCTGTTGCCTGCCAGTGAGCGCTCAGCGAGTGCCATGAGCAGCGCTAGGCGATCTTAGTCGCTGCAGTGGAGGTGGATGCCTGCCTCAGTGTCGTAAGCGCCCAGCCTGTCAGCGGCGCCACTGGCAGCTTCGAGCCTGCGCTCAGTGATGGCCCTGCCGAGCAGGTCACCTGCCCTGCTGGCGACGTTGACCGTGGCCGAGCCAGGCATGCCAAAGCATCCTGTGAGCGCCGCAGTGAAGGCCTTGGGCACCAACAGCCAGCAGGCATCGCCGCCACTCGGCCTGCGATCCAGCGCGGCAGTTGCCTCGTCGACGGTGGCGTTGAGGACCTCCTGGGCGCAGTCGCCGCAGCTTGCC